CCTGAGAAAATCTCTTAGCATCGCACATAAACGCTTTCGACTATCTTATACGCGGGCAGAAGAAATATTACAACAAGGACAGCCGGAATAATATCCACTGAGAAGAAGGCTTGGTCAAAATATGTAGTAACGATTTACTCACAGGTTGCATCGCCCGTGGGTAAAAGAGCCATTTTGAGTGGTGAATGATGTTTCACCCACAAACTACCTCTTCCGCAACACAACGCTGTACATTCAACAATCTTGAAACACACAAATGGAATCCATGGATAAGTTTCCGTCTCCTTATTCCCACTGCAATTTTGGTAAATTTTGGTGCTTCTAAGGTCGTCATCTGGCGTATTATCAGTGTTTAAAAGCAACAAGCAACCAATAAATGTAGAATTACGAGTACCTCTACTTCTAGTGGTTCTTAAACTCTCTGCTTCCCTCAATAGGCATTTTGCGTCTCCACCGGTGTACTTTCACTATTTGACCAGGCCTATGGCCCCAGTTAGTAGACCCAGGTTCGATTATGTCGTAAAATATATATTTTGCATGAGCACTATGTCCTCTTTCGTCTTCAGATCGGTGTCGGACGCTACAGACGTTGCCCCATTCTACGTCGACAAAATATGATCATTCTTCCTCAAGAAAGTCTCGAGCCGCTACACTATATGCAGATTAAAGTCTTTTTACAAAACAAAAGCAAAAAGCTTTTTGAAAGTTATAGGTGAAAGCATAAAGTATGGGTGATAATAATCTGACATTAAGTGGAATACTTATCTGTTTATTTTTATTTTCACTGAGAAGATCTAGCGCGATAGCAAATCATTGAAGCAATGTTACCCCAGTAGGTATATTTTTATTTTACAAGCCGTCAAATAATTTACTCTTTCGTGCGTTAAAAACCTTTTAAATGAAAAATGCTACAGCTTTACATTCTCACCTTTATTGGTCAGATGCAAGGCCATCTTGCATTGTTGGACCCAGTTGTTCAAAACCCGTGATATCTGGTTCACTAACATTTCTTCTGGATTTATGTCCTTATTCAATGTGAAAACTGGTACGTTCTCTGGCGTTTTTAGTGTTCCTCCTAATTCTAACGCACCTTAAGGTATGCTGATATTTCGTTTTTCTGGTTCGGTTGTATTTAATGCTGGAATACGTTCTGAGTGTCGTTCGATTTTTGTTTAATCACTAACTTTCTGTTCTTTCATTGGTATTTTTGACTGACCTTTTAATATAATTGCGTGACTGTGTTGCGCCATATTCCGTTTTATTTGCTAGCGAAGGGTCTTATATGAACTTATCCGACAATTTTCTTTGGTCTGACTTTTTCTCCTGTGCTTCTCAACGCTTTCCTACTTTAGTAAACCGAACCTTATTTTTCTCATTTTATACCAAAATTTTTTTTACCGTATCTGTGTGTACTTTTGGAATGTAAGCCAAAATGTGTGGGAATATTCATTGTTGAGGGTTTCTAAATTGGCTTTCCGCGGGATGGTCTATGCCAACTTGTCTTTCATTAGTGTCGTTGCACTAAACTCTTTTTCTTATCATAAAATGTTCTTCAGGCTACTTCACTGTTTGCTTTCACAGATTTTTGCTTGTTTACCAACATGGTCCATTTTCCTCCCATTTTCTCCCATCTCCTAGATGAGTCATATCTGCCCTTGCGGTCTGTTCAAGACAGGATGAAACCATTCCCCTTATTATCACTTCTAGGTCTTCTGTTTTTCTAGTACACCACAGCTAATGGGTGGTCAGGCCGCAAATCAAGTGCACTAGTGACAAACGAATAGGTAGGAAATAATTTTTTTTCCGCCTCTATTATCTTCCCCATTCCTCCCCGCGTTTCTCCCATCATGTCAACGTGCGCACGTGCATGCGTGCGTCCCGATTTACTCACAGGTTGCATCGCCCGTGGGTAAAAGAGCCATTTTGAGTGGTGAATGATGTTTCACCCACAAACTACCTCTTCCGCAACACAACGCTGTACATTCAACAATCTTGAAACACACAAATGGAATCCATGGATAAGTTTCCGTCTCCTTATTCCCACTGCAATTTTGGTAAATTTTGGTGCTTCTAAGGTCGTCATCTGGCGTATTATCAGTGTTTAAAAGCAACAAGCAACCAATAAATGTAGAATTACGAGTACCTCTACTTCTAGTGGTTCTTAAACTCTCTGCTTCCCTCAATAGGCATTTTGCGTCTCCACCGGTGTACTTTCACTATTTGACCAGGCCTATGGCCCCAGTTAGTAGACCCAGGTTCGATTATGTCGTAAAATATATATTTTGCATGAGCACTATGTCCTCTTTCGTCTTCAGATCGGTGTCGGACGCTACAGACGTTGCCCCATTCTACGTCGACAAAATATGATCATTCTTCCTCAAGAAAGTCTCGAGCCGCTACACTATATGCAGATTAAAGTCTTTTTACAAAACAAAAGCAAAAAGCTTTTTGAAAGTTATAGGTGAAAGCATAAAGTATGGGTGATAATAATCTGACATTAAGTGGAATACTTATCTGTTTATTTTTATTTTCACTGAGAAGATCTAGCGCGATAGCAAATCATTGAAGCAATGTTACCCCAGTAGGTATATTTTTATTTTACAAGCCGTCAAATAATTTACTCTTTCGTGCGTTAAAAACCTTTTAAATGAAAAATGCTACAGCTTTACATTCTCACCTTTATTGGTCAGATGCAAGGCCATCTTGCATTGTTGGACCCAGTTGTTCAAAACCCGTGATATCTGGTTCACTAACATTTCTTCTGGATTTATGTCCTTATTCAATGTGAAAACTGGTACGTTCTCTGGCGTTTTTAGTGTTCCTCCTAATTCTAACGCACCTTAAGGTATGCTGATATTTCGTTTTTCTGGTTCGGTTGTATTTAATGCTGGAATACGTTCTGAGTGTCGTTCGATTTTTGTTTAATCACTAACTTTCTGTTCTTTCATTGGTATTTTTGACTGACCTTTTAATATAATTGCGTGACTGTGTTGCGCCATATTCCGTTTTATTTGCTAGCGAAGGGTCTTATATGAACTTATCCGACAATTTTCTTTGGTCTGACTTTTTCTCCTGTGCTTCTCAACGCTTTCCTACTTTAGTAAACCGAACCTTATTTTTCTCATTTTATACCAAAATTTTTTTTACCGTATCTGTGTGTACTTTTGGAATGTAAGCCAAAATGTGTGGGAATATTCATTGTTGAGGGTTTCTAAATTGGCTTTCCGCGGGATGGTCTATGCCAACTTGTCTTTCATTAGTGTCGTTGCACTAAACTCTTTTTCTTATCATAAAATGTTCTTCAGGCTACTTCACTGTTTGCTTTCACAGATTTTTGCTTGTTTACCAACATGGTCCATTTTCCTCCCATTTTCTCCCATCTCCTAGATGAGTCATATCTGCCCTTGCGGTCTGTTCAAGACAGGATGAAACCATTCCCCTTATTATCACTTCTAGGTCTTCTGTTTTTCTAGTACACCACAGCTAATGGGTGGTCAGGCCGCAAATCAAGTGCACTAGTGACAAACGAATAGGTAGGAAATAATTTTTTTTCCGCCTCTATTATCTTCCCCATTCCTCCCCGCGTTTCTCCCATCATGTCAACGTGCGCACGTGCATGCGTGCGTCC